AGTCCATTGCTGCGTGCCTTGCGCAAACGTTTTCGTCGCTATACTGTATGCTAGCCTTGCTCATGCCGCCTACAGCAGCACGTGACAAGCGAGCCCATCGCCGTATATACCAAGGCCCCGACTGGGGCTCATTCGTCATGCTCCTGCGCGCTCATGACGTTGCCGAGGAAGCCAGCAACATCTATGAGGAAGCTATTGTTTAAGCATAGAAAACTGATAAGACGGCCCAGAATGACACTCACTTCCATGTATTGCACACTTAGCACCTCTGTCCACTCTAATGCAACCTCCTTGCTCGCCTGCAACGCTGCGCTGCCGCTCAACCGCACCACTCACAGCACCCCTTCGTCGAACACCGAGCCATCTTCGACCACCGGAGAGCATCGACCACTGAGTTGACGCACGACCTATCGGGCTTGGAGCTGAAATAGACCACCGGGAGGAGTCGGACCTCCGTTTCCCTGCATGCAGGGCGCTCTGCCGTTAAGCTACGGTGGTAGGTCCGGCGGCCTGAAGAGCAGCACAAACAGAGAGTGTTAGAAAACAGTTGAAGGCAGTGCAATAGAAAGCTGGATGAACGCACCATTTAGTGTTGGCCGGGGCATTAACCTTGACGGCGACAACCCTCTTAGGACACTGCCCCCCCCCCCCGCCTCAATTCGCTTCACGCGGTCAGACCAACACTGACAGCAGAGCGAGGCGGGGAGGACGAGAATAGCAAGTGAGCGCAACTCAGTATTTTACTGGTAATCTACCAGATGGGTTCATATTTTTACTGGGATAGCAGTGGCCGATAAATTCGCGCCTCGGTAACTGAAGCCAGTAAACTGAGGCCGGTATCGTGGTCCTTTGTCACTGGATGTCTTTCTCCTGGTGACCCGGTAACTGGAGCTGGTAACTGAGTCCGATCTCGAGTCACTTGACTTCAGCCATTCAGCAACCGGCACCTACGTACGTACCTATCCCCCTGCTTTTCCTTTATCTCGCGAACTATTGCTCAGTACAGCCACAAGTTCCCTACACTAACATGGTCGCGCGTTTTTCGCCATAATTCGCCACTATCAGGTTCACTACGACGCTGAATTCGAGACGTGGTTTCGGCTGACTGTTGTAGTTGACGTCGCAGGCCGTGTCGGTCTCGCTGATAGGCGCCATGGGACTACAGCTATTGTGCAATTTCACATTCTACCACTAAACCAAGCAGCCGGCCTACGTACCTAGCCACCGCACTTGGGCCCCGCAATGGCTAGGATAGGGGTCTTTTGACCGTATATGTAGTTGTTTTGTTTTTAGTTTATAGCAGGCTTTTTACCATTACCCATTGGCGTCTCCTGCGCCTGCTTCGCAGCCGCAGCATCTGCCTGGTAATGCGATCTGAAAAGTAGATACTGTCTAGTAAGTTTGGAGCGGTATGTGGACAACACGAGTTTTAACTACGAAGTACAAATGCAGTAGCTACAAGACCGAATGTGTGACCGCAGGAGACACTTACTCTATGTCTGTAGTATAGCCCTCAATTATATCAAACTTTGACATTGAGCATACTATTTTTTTTAGAAATCCTTAAATTTCAAAGCTTACGACTACGTTAATGGCCCCACGACCGCTACGTGCTGCGATATTGCAGCTGGGGGGGGGGGGGTATACGGCGCGCATCTTGGCGCTAGAAGTCGTGGTCTACAGATAAGTTTCAGGGTACAAACAATGCAAAGAAAACAAAACGCAACGTTAACTATGATACAAGATATTCAATGCTCCAGGTTTCTCATAAAGGTCGCCCATGAAGCTGATAGTTCTTCCTCTCACTTGCTAGGCAAGAGAGGCGACGAGTAGTTAAGCTTTGAGGTTGCGCTCGCACGCCTTGATAGTCGTCGTAATACTACTGCTGTGGTGAAAGTTCTGGCTGCCCCCGTAAATTTGCTATCCCGCGTAGCCGGGACGGGCTTATTATCAAGTTTTTTTGGTGGTTCGTCAAGGACGCAGAAAAAAGGATGTTTGTCGAGTCTTTACAGCAGAGAGGCGGTCCAGCAAGGTGAAAAAGCACGGGAGTGTGCTATCGGGACTGGAGCGTAAAGCCAAGTTGGGCAGGTACTAATACGATTGATAGGTATAACCTTGGACCGTTGAAATTTAAAGCTTCGGCCGATGAGAGCCCAGTTACATCTACACCGTGTTTGTATGCTTCGTGGGTGCATTCAGCAAGCTCTTGGCACTCAAGTCTCAGAGTTTTCTTGAGTTTCGGGAACTTGACTGCCCAGTAGTAGACACCGTCGTTATCACCCCATGACACAACTGTTCCACAGAAGCTCTCGCGTTTGGGCACTCCAGCCTTGGTCCTGATGTCGAAATCCCGCATGGGACGGGCTTATCATCGAGTAATCGTGGCGGTTCGTCGAGGATTTGCATAACAGAGTAGGTTCAGCGAGGGCATCACGACGGAAGTGTACCGTGAGGACTTCGGTCGTCCATCAAGTTTCTTTACGTGTTAGTTAGTGCTGTAGCTCTGAATCACGTTGCACCTAGGCGTCTATCGGCCTGCTGCCGGAGACGTTCAGCGCATAATAATACTGTAGCTGGGGAGGTCATGGTGGACACGTTCACGGGTGAGTTGGGGTACCCGTGGAGCTGCGAGGCTGGACAAACGGGAATGAAGCGGCGCTAATTGCTCTTCCGAGAGTATGGCTAGGAACAGATCGAGCGATAGCGGGTGCTGTGCGTCACAGCACAGCACACAATGACCCCAAGCACTTTTGCTAGATAGGTTGCTATGATACAAGGCAGAACAATGTATATCTGTGCTTGTAATTTATATTATCGTTCTGTCAGTCCGTTAGGAACTCAAGCGTGTCACCGAGACAGCCGCGGCGAGAACAGATCTGAGACCGTGGTGATCTATCGAGTTTCATTAGCAGCGACGTCCAGTACTGCGACGGCATCCTGGCCGATGCCGGCCACATCCGGGCTGTACCTCAACTGAACCCAGACACGATAAGCCGTCCATCTTCTTCCCCCTCAGCCGTCGTCGGGGCCTTCACGCTACTCTACTATGCCTGGCATAGTGTATAGTATGCCGTCCACTTGCAGCGTCGGCTGTTCACTGTAAACCGCGGCATTTACAACTTTCAGGACATATTCGGCGTGCATCTTGGCGGGTCGCTGGAGCACGAGCTGGCCGTCGGAGCTGGCATGGTTGAGGAGCACTATCAGGTACTTGTGCAAGAGGAGTCGAGGCTATTATATGTATTCCTGTGAGCGGCAGTCTGCCGATTTGTAGTGTACACCAGAAAAACTAGGACACTCGTACGTCACGGCGATGCATGGGAGACAACCAACGCTGCATTCCGCACCTGTGCTCGCCTTCACGCACCGCTATAAGCGCATTCACTCGCTTCGTACCAGCAGCAACAGGGGAAATGACATATAACGGGATTGAAACATAATTCATCGTATTCTAGCGGCATGCCCAGAGTGGTTTTGTTCAGGCGTGCACACATGCCGAGGAGAAGTGTGACGCATGAGTGGCATTCCATGCAGTTAAACTCACAATCCGCGACCGGTAGACCCACGGTAAGAAACTTGGTCGGTGGCTACTTGTTAGTAGGCGTACCTCAATGTTATTATTTGTTCATACTTGTATAATGGTGGCTGGGGATGTATCACTAACCTGCGTAAAATGGTTTCGTTATAGGCGGCACAGGTTGTTACACTGTTAACCGAGTACCTGTACTCGATGTAGCTCAGCGCATTACAAGTTTGTAGTTTGATCAGTCAGGCGGGGGGGGGGGGGGGGGTATCCCACTCGCAGCGGTGGTAATGGTGGCTACCAGCCTACGTGAATAGTCGACCTCTTAACACAAGGCTACCAGCCTCACTATATGCACGCAATATATTGCTTGCAAAGAGCGTCGTAGGTTGCTTGGCCTTGGAATGTATACTAAATTTGCGGGCCCGTCTTCCCCGCACTTGACGGCGACGACAACACCCGGCCACCAAACACAAGTGCATGGCTCCGCTAATCGGGCCCAGCGCGACAGCACCGATGGAGAAGACGCACGACGGGGTCAATGTCGACTAGATGGAGCACAATCTACGCCGCTATGCGTATGTAGTGGATGCCAGCGATTTACACTTGGTCTCTGAACTCTGCGCAGGCGTCACCGCTTCTTATCTGCCCTCAGCCCACGCAGAATCTGCACGTTATCCCAGAACTACCTCTCAAAGTCTCATTTGCACGCAGAGCTGCATGCAGCCCATCGGGTACTGAGCAAGTCTAGCAATTTGTAAGCATGGTCTTTTTGACTTGATTTATCGCCAATTACAGAAAAGCCCTCGATGAACCACAGTTTTCAAATCGCCTTGCTGAACCGCCTCATTTTCCTTGATGAAAAGCCCCACCCTGCGTAGCCTAGTTTGTAGCCATCTGTGTGTGGACTTTCCTACAAACACTGTGTAGATCAGGTAGGAACAATGATTTCAACGATGCGGTACAGTACTGTAGCTGTGCTTCACCTGCAAACTGCCGTGTTGATCTACCTACAGCAAATCTTAAGTCACCATCCGGCTATCGCACATTGTGTTTAACATTTGGATGTGTCAGTTAAATTGAACAGACGACTTTGTTGTCTCTCTTAGCGCGCAGTCACCTGCAGTCACCTGCTTGATACCTATGCTTTTGCAGCATGTCCACGTGCAGTGCCGCTTACCCCATTTTGTACGTCAGCCCAGCTCGACAATCAGTCGCCAATCCTCCCCAAGACCGAGCCTCATTAAGCATTTTGCGGCCACCAAGATCACTTACTCAAGTCTTCGACAGCGTATACATGCCGCGATCAAGATTGGCGCTCATCTTAATCGTTGTGATGGCAGGCGCCGTATGTGGAGAGACTGATGATGGTTCAACGTCAAGGTATTTTGCACCTGGTCAGCATCATTCAACACTGCAGACTTGCTGGAGAAGTATGCGACTCCTGCCACGGCCACGAGCACCGTCACCTCAATGTATGCGCAACTGGGTTGGGCCCTGGAGTCTGTCCTCGGACACGTCGTGCTACCGCGAGGCCCACATGATGGACACTTGTCCAAGCAACTTCGACCGAAATGAACTCACGAACACGTGCCCTATGGAGTTCCCCGTGGAGTGCGGCATGGAATGCATCCGACAGAACAGCGACTGTGGACTGGAAGTGGCCAGCAAGGTCTCGGCGCTGGCCATGGCGATCTTCGGCACTGCCACCTTGGGCGTGGTCGGTGAGCTGGTGAAGCTGGGCAAGAAGTTGACGTGGGCCGTCAAGTGCACGAACCAGTTGCTGCTGGTGATGAGAGGTATTATTCGGTACGTCCGCAACGTCAAGACGGAAGACCCGCAGACGACGCAGCAGAAGCTCCTGCTCATGCGGTACCAGACGAACAACGTGGTCACCGACCTGCCCATGGCCATCTACGCGTGTAAGGGGAAGGAGATCCCTTCCAAGCTGCGGCTCTCGCAGATCGTGCTGGCCACGTCGCAGTGGATGCTGCTCCAGGCGCTCACCTACGACGACGACATCATCTCCAGTTGGTCGAGGTTCAAGGCCTTTCTTAAAGGAGCCAACTTCACGGAGGCAGCAGAGGAGATCACGGAGGGGGAGATCGATTCACTCAAGACGGCCATGAAGCAGAACTCGAGTTGCGGTGGCGACTTGAAGTCGCTCACTGACCGCGTCTGGCTGACGGTGAACGAGTACAGGCAAGATAATCCGGGCATCACCGACGACGAGCTGCGGCTGAAGATCAGCGAGTCCGACCTCGTGCTGTATGACGTCCCCACTGTGACCAACAACTGCATGAGGCAAATGATCTCCGAGTCCAGCAAAGAGACCGCCAACAAGACGAGGGAAACCCTGCGCAAGACGTTCGGAGTCATCATCAGCGACCTCATCAAGTCCGGCAAGAGCGAAAACTGCACGTCGCTGGACGAGAAGATGGCCGCGTACAAGTAGATCGACATGGGCCTCTCCACCATCTCCGCCTCCATGATCGACCCGACAGATATCGCGACGCTCTTGTCCGAGTACCTCCAGACGGTCTGTGGACCTACGCAATTCATGGGCGAGATCGACGACGGCAACGAGGACGCCACGCTCGGGTTGAACACGCTCCAACGAGCCTTCAGAGGCAGCTCCAGCTCCTGGGCGAAAAAGGGCGACGGCGCTGTGATCATCAACTTCTCTAGCTCCGATACGGAAGACGTGACGGTCAACATCATGTCGGGCGGCGACAAGATCGACGAAGTGGAACGCGACGTGGAGGTCGAACATCACTGCGCTGGGCGGCAAGACGTTGTACCTGGATCGCTGGCGGCCAGGATTTCTCGGACTTCCCGGCACAGGAGGCGGGTCGTTGGTGCTGTGGGTACCGAGGGCGTCGGAGGGGGGGGGCACCTAGAGATCAAAGCCAAACTAAACGTTTCATGACCATCATTCTGCAACTAGAGATCAAAGCCAAACTAAACGTTTCATGACCATCATTCTGCAACTGCAAGGTGCATTTGTGTAGACACACAATAGTACAAGTTGTTTTGTGTTTGTACACAATCTGCGACGTGATACACCTTGTTTTGCATGGCTAAAATAACAAACTCAACCTTTGACTCAGCAGGGCTATTGCTGCTCCACTCACTATTCACCACCGAGCTGACTGAAATGAAGTTCAATCGTGTTGCAGTTTCACTAACTCTACTATTTGATTTAAAATGGCAAAGATCATTTCAACTCACGTTGATCTTCGCTTCAACTTCCAGGTGGCCACCCTGTGACGCTCTGGGCACCCACAGCACGAGAGATCCGCCACCCGTACCGGGAAGACCCAGGAACCCCGGCCTCCAGCGATCCAAGTACAGCGTTTTCCCACCCAGCACCTTCACGCTCGACTTCCACTGAGCAGTCTTGCCCGCGGCCACCTCCACCTCGTCGATTTTATCACCACCAGACATGATATTCACAGTCACGTCCTTCTTGTCCGTGCTTTTGAAGTTGATGATCACCTGTCCGTCGCCCTTCTTAGTCCACGCAATGGAGCTGCCTCTGAACGCATCTTCGAGCGTGTTCAGCCCAAGCGTGGCGGGCTCCGTGCCGTCATCGATCTCGCCCATGAACTGTGTCGGACCGCAGATCGTCTGGATGTACTCAGACAGCAGCAGCGTGAGGCGCGTGGGGTCGAGCAACGAAGCCGCGACGGTCGAGAGACCCGTGTCGATCACCTTGTACGCAGTCTCTTTCTCGTCTAAGGAGGTGCCGTTGTCGCTCTTGCCGGACTTGATGAGGTCGTTGATGATCACTCCAAAAGTTTTACGCAAGGCTTCCCTCGTCTTGTAGGCGGTCTCTTTGCTGGACTCGGCGACCATTTGCTTCATGCAGTTGTTGGTCACAGTGGGGACGTCATACAGCACGAGGTCGGACTCGCTGATCTTCAGCCGCAGCTCGTCGTCGGTGATGCCCGGATTATCTTGCCTGTACTCGTTCACCGTCAGCCAGACGCGGTCAGTGAGCGACTTCAAGTCGCCACCGCAACTCGAGTTCTGCTTCATGGCCGTCTTGAGTGACTCGATCTCCCCCTCCGTGATCTCCTCCGCTGCCTCCGTGAAGTTGGCTCCCTTAAGAAAGGCCTTGAACCTCGACCAGCTGGAGATGATGCTGTCGTCGTGTGCGAGCGCTTGCATGAGCATCCACTGCGCCGTTGACAACACATATTGGGACAGACGAAGGTTCGGAGGCACGGCCTTGCCCATGCAGACCGTAATGGCGATAGGTAGATCCGTGACGACAGTGCTCGTCTGGTACAGCATGAGCAGCAGCTTGCGATCCGTCGCCTGCGGGTCCTCCGCCTTCATGTTGCGGATGTACCGAATGACCCCCCTCATTACCAGCATCATGGAGTTGCTGCACTTGACGGCCCAGGAGATCGTCTTGCCCAGCTTTGCGAGCTCGCCGAACACGCCCATGGTAGCCGTACTGAAGATCGTCATAGCTACAGCCGAGACCTTACTCGCCACTTCGATGCCGCAGTCGTCGTTTTGTCGGATGCATTCCATACCGCACTTCACAGGGTACTCCATGGGGCACTCCGTCCAGCAAGTGTTGGTTTTCTCGTTGCGGTCGTAGTTGCTGGGGCAGACGTCCATGACGTGGGCTTCACGGTAGCACGCGGTATCGGTCGACATGCTCCAGGGGCCCACCCAGTTGCGGTACGTTGATTTGACGGTGCTTGTGGCTGTCGCGGGGGTGGCGACGTTGCTCAGTAGCTCGTCGCCATCGACCGAGGAGGGCCCAGATGCGGAAGGCGGAGTCGTCGCTGGGCGGGCCGTTCGAGCCGACGCAGCAGTGAACGCACTGGCCAGTGCTAGCAAGACGAGCACTATCAATACTCTCGACCGAGCCATGATTCTGCTGTAGAACGCGGGAGATCTGGTCTTGTGGGGGTCAGCGCACAATGAAATCTCCTCTCCATTGGCGGGAGCTCGGAACGGCGGCGGCTACAGTGCTGTTCGGGTGTCGGTAAGCAGCGAATAGTGAAGAGGCCACATAACACGCCATCAGACGAACGTCGGCTGCGAGCTGCTGCTGTAGGATGGGGATGGACTGCCACTGCAACACGGGAAGCCCCACTCGTTGATTAAGGACTGTTGAAGATATTTCGGCCGGACAGATGTTGGACAGCCGCGTTCCGCCCTTCATGCACTGAATTTCTCGGATTTCGATAACCCCTTCACACATGTAAATGCATCTACACAGCGGTCGGCATACAAGCATAATGCCAAGCTTATGGCGCAGAGATCAACAGTTAATAGCCTTCTATCCGATGGCTTGCGCAGTACTGCCGGCGCTTCGTGGAGAGCACTTCACCCCAAAAGCTGGTTCCAAATTGGAACTTCCAATTGCAATTGGAAGTCATAGCAATTTGCTACAGTACCGAATGACTGGAACCGGACAAAAACCATGCAAGAAGGCGCAGCTTGTCCACTTGAGCAGCTCAGCTCATCCAGATGCTCCTGGCTACGGCATGTGGCTTCTCAAGCTGGGGGTGTCGGCTAGGGCTGTCCGAGTATCGCACCCACCACGCTCAAACTACAGGGAATCTAAGTGAGTTAAGGGCCGAACCGCCAGGCTGGTCGGGCAATCCTGCTGCAGTGTGGGCAAACCGATCCCGGCGCAAGTGCCCCCATGCGAATTATCGGCTGAGTTTGCGGACACCCTCTCTCTGTTGTACGAATCGTACATCGTACATCGTACAGTACGATCTATGGGGGGCCAGCAACGCACGCTATCCGAGATTGTGTGGACGAATTGTAGAAGATACGAACGGTGATCTTCCGCTAGGCTTAGCTTATATTGTATGAACGCCAATATTGTGCTATCTTCGGTTATGGAATTCATATATATTTCCTTCTGCGCACACGAATTCGTGCTTTCCAAGACGCTGTAGCTTAGTTCAGGCATAATAGTTCCGAGTTGGAAGCGTCAACTCGTCTCACGTTAGGCTACCTCATGGTAATCCCAAATCGTTCCAAAATATCAATATGACGCCTCAGAACAAACGGGTCTTTGGAGACAGTCTTACGTGGACCTGTTCTAAGGCGACTAACGTTAGGTAGACCCAAAAGTATACATTTCAAAATATTGTTGGGCCAGACTTCCCCATTTGCAAAAAGGAATCAAGTTTCTTCCTTGCTCTTTACAACGTGCTGAAGCAGACAGTAGGTATTTTAATGTACCCCCTTCAAACAAATATCGTCACAACAAAAATATTAGGAAGGTTCCTCACGTACGGTGATAGTGTGAAAGAGCCTTGCCAAATGGTGCGCGAAAAACGTCCGTTTGGTACCCTACAGCTTGGAATGTGTTTGAATTGTCCGGCTCCTGTTGGCTTCACTCCTTGAATCAAGACTCCTTGACGGTAGGCTCTGTGCCTGTGTGCGATGATCTGACAGCACAAACGTTGTGCAATTGTGGGTCTTGGGAGCAGTAAAATTCGGTTGGTTTCCAGTACATTTTGCCACTGTCGACTGTGGCGATTTCTGGCGCTCAAACGTCGAACTGAAAAGGTCAAGCGTTCTTTTTTACCATGGTACATTATGGGTGACTCATGGCTGGGACGTGTGTGGTACGATTTGGAGCCAAATCGCCCGAGCAACGATCCAAATCTTCGTGGCTCCAAATCTTACAGTAAGCCACCGGGTGAGAATATTGTTGTGAAGCGGGTACAACATTGCTGTAAACCGACTCCGTTATATAGGAATTGTTAGCACGTTAAAAAATATCACAGGGCGCCGCCTGCACCGTGCACGGTGCAAGTATGATGTAGAGGAACTTAATTTTATCACAATTGGGAGGAGTCGCGACATGTCCCATTCGAATGGCACAACTCGCGAGTTGCTAGCTCAGCATTTCGCTGGTGTCAAAAGGACCATTGCTGCATACAGTTGAAGTAAAAGAACTACACCTTTTCAACTTCAAAACAGCAAAAGGTAAGATCAAAACAACAATACTCTATAAATGTATAGTATAAACAATATGATATGAATCATCGTATTCGATTATAGAGTACAATTTGCCTAGATATCACAGGTTTTTACTATGGTAAATAATTAGCTAGCTGTGCTGCGTACCAACCAATGAGCTGTGTATAAAAGTACAAAGCTAGCCTGGTCTCTGCTCGTGCAGTTTTGAACTTACATTTTGCAGAATTGAACTTGGAATTTGCGGTTTTGAAGTTGAAAAGGTGTACACTGACTACGGTAATTAGTCTTAGTTCGAAATTAGTCGATGTCAGACTAATTCGCGTGTGTCCGGATGTATCGAATTCAATATTAGTCTCACAAGAAATGCTCAGAATTAGTCCTAGCATAAACAACATTTTGTTGGCATATACTGTGGAGTTTGTATACATTTCACTAGACATTTGTATCTTAGGCAAACAGATATCACAGGTTTTTACTATGGTAAATAATTATACTTACCTACATTTAGTGTACTTCTCAGATAAACTATGAAGCTCACACCGCGAGCCCCTGTGAGGAGCGTCCCCCGTGAAGCCCGAAGTATCGAACCAGCAGAATGAGACAGCGAGGCAGAAAACATAAGCGAGTCGTGGTAGAAGATCGAGACCTTCCTATTCATAATTAGTAAATGTGAATGGTGATCAGACTATATCATGTGCGATCGCCAAAACTGTGTTCACGTCGCTTTCAAGGATTTTGCGCACTCTATTCGTCTTATAACTCGTCTTCGCGGTGTCACAACTCGTTGTGGCCATGACAGCTAATTCGTGCTTTGACAGCGGCCAAAAAACGCTGAAGTACTTGACGCTTCTAGACTAGAGATATTTCCATAGTACGGTTCATAGCGCAGGACTTCCCTGTTGCTGCATACAAATGCTGCTTTGAAAAGCTAGCTAGCACGCAACTTGCAGTTTAGCGAGTTGCGAAAACGAATGGCGGATGGTTCAACCGCCATTCGTTGTTTTCCATCGATAGCTCGTTGCGCTTTCTGGTAATTCGTCCTTCAAATCACTGAACCATGATCCCGCGGTAAGTCGTCCTCTAAATCGTCAAAATATAAGTCGTCTCCGCCAAAATTCATGAAACGCACAATAGTCTGAGTCAGACTAATTACAATAGTCAGTGTAATTAATCCGCAGTTCGTAAGAACTGTCGTTTGCGCCCCTGCGGATGTTTGAGATAATGCAACATAAGGTTTTATGTTGCATTATCGGTTAAAGAGCTATTTGAAACAACAGCAATGACAGTTGTACAGCAATTGTATTACAGCATAGCAGCGCAAACTCCGATTCATTACAGCTCAAAGCATGCTTTCGGCGACAAGCTAACCAGGCAGCAGCAATAATAAAGAGGGGTGATCAGTCAATCAATGCAATTTGTGAGGAATCGACCGAATCGGGGCAGCAAGCGAGCAATAGGTAGGTCGCCGTCGTATCTGCTAAGTTAGTTTAGGCATGTGGCTGTCATTTCTAAGATACGATATCTGCATGTACATGTCGGACGCCACAGCAGCAGCAACTATAAACCGTCGTTGAGTAAACAAAATTATCGCTATTGATTAATGGTCGTGGGTGCAGACTGTTTGTTGAGAGTCGACTTTGAAGTGAGGAGACCTAAACGGCATTGAAAATCAGTATAGCAATTCTACAAAATCAAGTTGCAGGCGTCAAAATTAGACATATAGCCCGAATAACCCCAGAAAATAAACACATTATACATTCAACATGAGCCGAAGCTCAGTCTGGCAGCTTGAAGCTGTGCAGTATGTACCATGAATAGTAGTAACGCTAGTGTGAGTTCATGCAATGAAATGAAATTTGCGGTTATGACGGCTGACTACGCCCGTCGCCGCGCACTGCTGCAGCGCCGCATACGGGGACTCCCGCGGTAGCAGCCCAATAGTGTGAGTTCACGTAGATCCGCCACGGCAGATCGAGCAGCGTAAGCCATCCAGCAAATTGACGCATGATATCTCACAGTACAAAAATAAGAGCAAGCGCTAAAATTCAAGAACGTCTTCATGCAACGCTCTTCTGTGGCAAGCATAGCGCTACTACATAGTACTACTAGTAGTAAATAAAGTTTTCGACTGTGCAGGTTTTGGAATACAGTAAAAAAAGACCGAACTGCGAACACCGCGGGCCAAAACCCGCAAACCAGTGTACGTAACGGGGTTACAGTATATAATGACGGCGTTTGTGATATGGTTCATACCACGATTGGTCACGCTCTGTGATTGGTGGGAATACATGATATTTTGATTAGGACATTTGCTTTAGCACGCGAAGTCCACTGTAGCAATGTCTGCAGCACGACAACTTTTCTGCTCTCTTCGATTCATTACGAACTATTTGGCTTTATCGCATCGTCTCGGAAATGACACAAGCACCATACCCCTGCAGTCAGTCTTCAACGCGGACCACAACGAGATCGAGTGCTCCACCACGTGTGCTCTACCGCGAATATTTCCTGAAAGGCTCCCCCAACACTAACATGATGCAAAAGGCATCGCCGAGACTCCATACGTCTACCGTGCAGTGGATTTCGTACCTTGAGTGTTGCTCGCACACAGAAAAGAAAACCGCAAAAACATTAGCAGCTACCCCATAAAAAATCTCCACAGCGTGCTCATTACTCACCTCCTTGTCAGCTTGTGTATGTACTCGGATGAGTCCGCATCGGCGCCTACTTCCTCGAGGTTCATCACGATGTCTTGCCGACGAAGAAGGTCTGGCCACCGGTGGCCGACACCACAGCCTCCACCTTGCTGCTACGACCGTGGGGTCCATCTTGGCGTTGTTGCCGTGGTCACGGTCACCGGGAAGGACTCGCCGGTGAGCGCGGCCTGGTCGATCTGCACGGGGTTGCCCTCGCACAGGTCGCAGTCCGCGGGCACGGCCGAGCCGGCCGACAGCGTGATGGGGTCGTCCTATATGAGCAGCGCGGCGTTGATGGCCTTGTGCACGCCGTCGCGGAAGCCATGGGCCTCGAGCGCGGCCACGTCGTTGCCAATCTTGAGCTCGTCGTACCTGTCCACGATGTTGAGCAGCTGTAGCAAGGGCAGCACGAAGAAGTCGGGTCAGTCCTTAGTGATGGCGCCCACGAGGAATTGGCGCCGCAGAGTAGACAGTTGCAGTCATACTTTGTCACTACCCGCACCGCTGGTGCGGCGCCACTCTTGGTGCACGTCGCCGCCCTCGCCTCGCCCACGATGTCTTGATGGCCGCCACAAAGGCCCCGTTCACGGAGCTCACGCCGTCTGCATCATCGTTCTCGTCGTGCGTGGTCTTTTGGTTTATCGCCATTTTCGCTTTTAGACCGTAGCGAAAGGTCACAACGAAATCGTGATTTGTCCGTATCACAGTTGCCGTAAATCTACCTCATTTATATCGCACCATACTCGTGCCGAGTCAAAGTGTCACGGATCAACAGGTCATTCACGGCAACTGTGATAGATTCGTATCACAACCCCCCTACCAAAAGATCATGACCTTATCACAAATGCAGGAAATGTCTACATCATGCTACTGCCGGCAATCCGGTCACTACGCTGCTCAAACGCAGGAGAGTAGGAGCTAGGGCAGAGGCGTAGATAGAGACCGGCTTAGGGAAGGAGCGTTCTTAGACAGCCGACAACCTCGGACAGGTCTGTGGGCCTGCTCCTACGCCTATCATCCGAACATGTAAACATGCAAGAACGAGAACCCTTCCTGTTTACGCTTGACGCGCTCCAGGTCCACCTCGGGGCGTCACCAATAGACACCTCGCACCCGCGCGGTTACTAACCACGCTCCCAGCCACTCTAGACGCTACAGCAACCCATCTTGACTCACTCCGTAATTACTCGGGCCGTACCTTGAAATTGCTCGCACGTTCCGCCGACGTCCCACGCAGTATAGGTCCACCGCCGCAGAACAGAACGCTGAGAGACCTCTTGTGTTGTTGGGAAGGGCCGGCACTCCTGCCGCAGAACACCTCGCGTAGTAGATTAGCTTAACTTAGATTCTTCTCGTCCAAATCGCAACTGGGAGGTGGAGCGGCCGGCCGCACGTTCCCTGGCTAGGTCTATACTAAAACCTAGACTACTGCGCGATCTTCAAGGGGACCCTCACCCGTCGCGGCCTTCCATCCGCTCGTTTTGGATTCAATGTCGCCTCTCCTTGCCCCCATAGTCTTCTTCTGCTTCTCTCCGCCGTGTCCTCTCTCCACGGCGATCTTCCACGGTCGCCGTCGACACTTCCAGCAACTTCAATAGCGTTGGTGACTGCAGCAACTCCCGTCACCAGCCGCACCGCCCTTGTCACCGAACACCACGCTGTGCACCACACCGTGCACACTACGGTCACACTGCTTGCCGCTATCATCGAACTCGTGCTCCTCCCGACCCAAGAGCACACACGCCATCCCCGGCCAGAAGATCGTCCGCGATCTTCCCATCGTCGCGCAGGTCTTCGGACTCCTTGGCCGACAGCCACCCCTTCGCCGTAGGTCCCCAGGCCGAACTTCGAACTCGACCTGATACTGCGCCTCGTATCTGCCTGCTCTGTTCCGCACTTTTCGTCGTCCACACTCCCGGACCATGCCTGGTCCTGCGGTGTCCAACAGGTCGTGCATAGGGCGCGCCCATCGAGCTGGCCCATCGAGCTGGCCCTCGCCCTCGCAGTGCGCGTGCAGCGCCACCTCCAGCATCACCACCGCCGGGATCAATACGTGCACCACCTCGTGCTGCCTGCTCACCGTCGGTTCCTCCGCCTGGGGCTTGGTCGTCACTGCGTCCCTCTTTGAGACTGTCGTGTGCTACCTCGTTGGTGTTGCCAGCGCCAGATTCTCTTGTCGTTCATGCACTGTGGGGTTCCGTAGCGCTTGAAACCCCACGATCCGCGTCTGCACCGGCTTCCTTGGCGTCTGTCGCCGCTTGTCCGTCACGACGAGTGCTCCGCCGAGCTGCCCGGGCTCCACGGGCCTCGGCTTCGACCCGTCGTTTTTTCTGCTGCTCTTCGACACCATCCGTGCTCCGCTGTGCGCTCGCTTTCCGCTTGCGAGTCGCCTTCTGCTCGCTCACGCCTCTCTGACTGTGACCGCCTCCCACTGTACCACCAGCAGCGGCTCTCATATTACGGGGCTCCGTTGCAGCGCCCGCTATTCCTGGTTGTCTCGATTCTGGCACCACGCTACCTGGTCCTGGCGTTGGCGTGCCAGTCCCCGAAGCTGTAAGCCGTTCTTGTCTAGCGCCACCCACCTCACTGGCGGGGGCCTCGCTCACTGGCCCACTTGCCGCTGCTGTTTGCACTTCAGATGCTCTCCGTCCTTGTGCTGCACCTTGCTCATGCCCGACGGTGCTCACGTCTGCTCTGCCACCGACTGCGTCAGGCGTGGAGACGCCGTGACCAGCCTCGCCCGCCACGGACGCCTCGCTGCTGCTTTCCTCGACGCCGACGCCCTCGTCTTCCGCCAAGTCACGCAAAATTCTGTCTGCCACTGTCTCCAGCTGCCCTGGAGGGTAGTGATAGGATAACATGAAGCTGCAATGCACTGGCAGCTCTTCCTCCGTATCCTGATGCGTGACACGTCAGTTGTCATAGCCCGCGTCTGCCTCAATCTTAGCTGGGCCCACCCACTGGTGCGCCAGCTTCGTCACACCTCTACCACAAGGGGGCTTCAACACCCACACCAAGTCGCCGACTTTGAAATGCGCACGCGTTGGTTGTAATACTTCTCACGTCGCCTCTGGTCCCGCTGAAAAGCCACCTTGGCTATCGCAGCCGCTCGCTCCATCTGCCGTACCAGCTTCCTGTGATACTCTGCCCATCGACCCACTTGCGTTTCACCGCTCGCCCTTAGTAGCTCGTTTGGCGTCCGCAGGCGCCGACCCATCATTAACTCATTGGGTGAGTATCCCGTCGTACGCGTACGCTGCGCATGGAACCCACTGGTCCCAGTCATTCTGGTTTTCACAGACGTACATCGATATCATGTCCTTCCACACCTTGTGGAAGCGCTCCACCAGTCCAAGCAGCATCGGCCGATACGGTACGGGCGTTGCTTGCTGAGCTTGCAGCGCTCGCACCAGCTTCTTGACCACTTCGCCATTCAACTCCGGGGCACCATCCATGACCAACTCCCTCATCGAGCCGTAGATCAGCACGACTCGCTCCATCAGAAACTTAGCGACAACGTCCGCCGTGTGCGCTGGCGTCGCCACCGCTACTGCATATCGACTCGCGTAGTCCACAGCTGCGATCACATACCTGTTGCCACTGGCCGTCATGGGTAACGGACCAGCAACACCAAGTGCCCATCGATCTCCAACCGCCCCGATGCCTTGACTACGAAGCGGCGGGATCACTGCCTTTGGCCGCGTCTTCCTCGTGCCGCAGTCCCTGCAGCTCCTCACCCAGTACTTCACTTGGCCCCGCAGATCTGGCCACCAGTACGTCCTCGACACCCGTGCCATCGTCTGGGGCGTCCTCAGGTGCCCTGAGTAGATTGAGTCATGCGCTTCGCGCAGCGCCTTGGCCCTCATAGTCGAAGGTAGCACCACACTCCGTCCTCCGTCATCACCGAGCACGTAGATCAGACCATCATCGCCCTCCACGGCCTTGCGGCCTTTGTACGCCTTGCTCTTCTTTAGTTTCTGCACGAACTTGTCACGCTGCTGATGCTCACGTATCTCGTCGTCCGTCAGCTGCCCGCTCTCTAGATCACCGGCTCCAGTGCCGATTCCTCCAGCTGTCACCGGTGTTGAGGACGTTGGCTGCGCACCCCCAGCCGCCGCTCGCACGCGCTGCACGGTCACAGCGGGCATATCGTCAGTGCTGTTCGTATCTGCTGCCGGCCCTTGGCTCGCTGCCACTTGCAGTCACAGCCGCTGGCGGTTGTCTGCTTGCCGCCACGGCACGTACTGGTGCTCGAGACGGCGCGTCCGCCACCACATTTGTAGATCCAGCTCTGTAGTGAATCACAAAGTCGTATTCCTGAAGCTGTAGAGCCCATCTGTGCAGGCGCCCCGTCAAATCTTTTGACTTCATCAAAAACGTCCTTTGCGTCGGATATCTATTCGCTGGGTATGTGCATCGTGGAAGCACTGCGGCTGGTGGAGGCGGTACAAGCTGGCAAAGACTCGCGCAGTTGTCTGCCATGGCGCGTTACTGACAGAATCGTGGTGATACACAATGAGTGCGTGAATGATCGAGCCATGGTTCGGAGCGCCCGACTTCAGCAGCAGCTAGCAGCAGTAGCAGCGACAGTAGGGGTGGCGACAGCGACTACGGCTTCATGGTGGCGCGATCGTCGAGATCATGTGGAGCTTGCTGTCGATATGGCAGCAGTCGTTGTAGTCGCGGAGCTTAGTCGGCACGACCGTCACGATTGAGCCCGGTGGTGGTAGCATCGGGCTGTCCTTCTTGATGTCATACAGTGAAAGTGTGATGAGGTATTTATTTGCTTCAAATGTGTTCTCGCGCTGTGCATCTTGGTAGACCTGTACGACAATGATGTGTGAGAGCCGTGTACTTGCAGGACGTTTAATGCTTGAGCGGGTCGACGATGTAGCGCAGCGGTACCTTTTGCTGGTCGGCCAGTGGCTCGGGCGCTCGCTGGTCGCCCAGATAGACGCACAGGAAGTGCGCTCTGTGGGTGTCGTCCTCGGCGGCCCACAAGAGTCGCGCCTGGATCCGCACCGATCCGCGGATCTGGGGATCGGTCATGTCGTTGCTGGCAATGAACGCCCGCAACCATGACATGCACGCAACAACGTCAGCACCAGACTGGCAGTTCGCAGCGGCAAGTGTACCTTCGATGTTGTCGATGACGTACTTCTTCAACTTCTTGACGGGCGAGACATACTCAAGCAGCGCCGGGTCGCTCGACGCGCGCTCGTGTTTCTGCTTTTCAGGGGGCGGTACAGCCGAAGACAGCTCCGTCACTGTCGAGATTGGCATCGGTACCGCCATCGACGGCGAACGGCTGCCGAGAGCCGTCACCATCGTCGGCGTTGACACTGTGGCTGCGACCACAGCCGCAGACGTGAGTGTAGTGGCCGACGTCACTGGATCGTCGGTGTGCTAGGACTTGGCGTGCTTCTTGGGCGGCATCGACTGGACAGGGACGGTCGTGGACGCTACTTGAGATATGGAGTCCCGCAGCGCTGCTTCACGGCACGGTGCCGATCGTAGCGATCGCTTGGGTAGTGCCGTTGCGCATGAAAGCCGATGCGCATTGAAGCCGTTAGGGTCGTGATTGGAGAAAAATGCCAAAAGTAGGCGTCATATGGTTGAAGCGTTGAAGTTGTCGTTGCCAGTGAAAAGCGCTGCCCCTAAAGCGCCAACGCTCATCAGCGGTCGAACGCTCGCGAACTTCCCCATCCGCCTCGAACACGCCACCAAGGAAAAGCAGATTGCACCATTTGATATGCTCGTCGTAGACGAGATCTCCATGATGAACAAACCTCAGTGGCTGAAGCTCGACCACCTGTTGCGGCGCTACATGCACGTCGCCTGCGTGCCGATCGGCAGCGTGCACACCGTGCTCGTCGGCGACTTCCTGCAGATGCCGCCGGTAAGGGCTGGTCCAATCTACTTGGACCCCATGTATAAGGCGCGGCCGAGCACCGTCGACGTTCAGGCTTCGAGTTGTGGCGCCAGGTTACAACCATCGTCGTTCTGGACGAGTCGGTCCGCTTTCGCGACGATCCGGAATGGAGAGAAGGCTGCCGAAATGCGCGCCTGGGGCACTGGACGCCCGAGTTCATGGCAATGATCAACGCCCGCGTGTGCAACCACGAGCCGCACGAAGGCGATCCCCTCGCGGCGCTTACCGACAGTGCCTGCGTGTCGTCCGCGTTCGTGACACCCGAGAACGCCACTCGGCTCGCAATCAACAACGCCATCATGAAGGCGACCGCGTCGGTCCTGCCACGCGGAGTCTATCTGACACGCGTGGTCGCAAACTTCAAAGGTACGCTGAATGAGCTTAGTGAGAGCGACCTGCGGTACGTGCTGAGTCTCCCTGACAATCGTTTCGGACGGATGGCGCCGTACATTGACCTCGTGGACGGCATGCCGATCCAGGTGACCCAGAACGTCACGACGGCGAAGGGCATCGCGAACGGCACGCTCGGCCGACTCGAGTACGTCCACTTCCCGGCCGACACCGAGTTCCGGCTCGCCCGTGATGCTGCAATGTCGCTGATCGTGCGCCTGCCAATCCGTGCACCTGAGTACGTCGTGATCCGCGTGCCACGCCCGCAGGCCGGCCGGGCGGCGACCCAGATCTGTTTCTTGTTCAATACGAAGGCCTATAAGAAGATCACAATCAGGCTCGCGCCAGCGCCCGACGGCCAGCCGCGCTCCGTTACCGTGCGACCGCAGCAATTTCCCTTCGTGTGCGCGGTCGGCTCGACCGTGTACAAGGTCCAAGGGGAAACGCTGCGGTCGATGGTCGTCGTGGACTGGAAGTCGTCGATGGCCGCGATTAACAAGCCGCAACAGACTCATCTACTTGTCTCGAGGGTTACAACACGCAATGGACTACTAGCTCTACAACCCATGACGGCGAAGCTGGCAGCGTGGTCCAGGCCACCGGCGCACACGATACAGGAAGATGAGCGGCTGAGTGGCCTCAGTGATGCCACGTTGGCGGGTTTCCACCCGTCAACGTGGCAGACCGAGGCCCCAATCCAAGCAGCCACTGTAACGGGGTTACACGCACAAGTGGCTACAGTCACTTGTTACTCTAACAGATGCGATGTCTGTTAGAGGTTTTGAACACTTCCTCGACCTTGGTGTAAGGTACACCAATGGCTACATACATTTACGACCACCACGACGGGTGGTCCATTGAGACTTAGGATTCCTATTGGCTGAGAGCAGCATCTCTTAGCCAATGAGCGACATGCATAGCATTGGATTTCTGCCAACCAGCCGTTGGCAGATTCCTATCTTCGAATATTACATTTAGAGAAAGTCAGAAACATAAAACAAAAATAGCAGTTCTCATTTTAACCCAAAAACATTACTTGGATCGTTTATTTAGATTAATCTATACTCGGAGGCCCGAGTATAATTAATTCTAAGTTAAACTAAGCTACGCTTCCTCACATACACGCGCACACGTGTAAGCTAAAGTAGTGAGCCAAAGTAGGCCCACTACACCTGGTAGCACTTTGTAGTCCGTCCAACGACCGACTACCTGAGTTCGTACGTCACCGCACGAACGCGGAGCTGAGAACCTTCCCATGGATACGGAGGTGTCCATGGAAAGATCCACTACTGTCCCCACCTGTCGGACCCAGAGTGGGAAGCTCTCCAACGACTGTCAACAGTCATTGGTGAGGCGGCTGTAGCTACGATGCTGCGTACGCTAACGCCGACAGAGCAACATGGTGTTGCTCTGGGATTCATCATGAGGGAGCAGCGATATGCTGCTTCGCCTACCACGGTGTCGTCCGGGACGACACCACGCGCGCAATCGCTGAAGCTCAATGTGAGCAACTATGTCGGAAGAGAGGGTGAACCTCTCCTCCGTTGGCTTGTCGAACTCGACACTGCCATTGCGGCTCGACGTATCGTCGACCCGTTGTCGAAGGTTGCGTTCGCCATATCATGTCTTGGGGGACGTGCAAGAAGTTGGGCGTATGAACGCTGACTCTCGGATCCAACGTGCTTTAGCACGTACGAGGGTTTCAAGGAAGAGCTCAGACAAGCGTTTGAGCCCCCGCAAAACGAGTTCCGGTCGAGGGCGGAGTTCCTCGACCTGCAGCAGGGCAAGCATGATGTCCATGCTTACACTCAGAGAGCACGGTACTTGGTCTCGAACATCGTGACCAATCCGATCGACGAGGCGACCAAGGTCGTCACGTTCATGAAGGGACTGAGAGATGGGCCTGTGAAGACCTATCTCTTCCGTGAGTACCCGAGTACTCTCGAAGCTGCGATTATTCTTGCAATACAGGAGGAGTTTAGTCTGAGGCAGGCTAAACTGCATGCAAATGCGCCGAGGCTGCAACCGCCTCCGGTTGCGATAGCGGGAGGTCTGGAACCAATGGACCTCTCGAATACAACGGCTGCTGATTATCAACAGCAACAAGGAAGTAATGTACGATGCTTCCGTTGCGGAAGGATCGGTCACTATGCCCGAGAGTGCACGGCACCCGTGCACCGAGATGGTGGTCGACGCGGCGATGCCGGGCATCGTCGCGGACAAACAAAAAAAGCTGGAACCCAGTAGGCGCGGGGCGCCCTACTGGTGAAGCAGTCACGCGTGTCCAACTCGGACATGCAACACTGAGGACTGCAGCCCCCAGTGAGGACCCTTCTCACTGTAAAATGCATGATGACAAACCGAACCTTGTCATCTTGGACGTGTCTTCGAAGAGAGAGAGCAACTCTCTTCGTGCTTTGATTGATTCGGGCGCGTCGAACAACTTTGTTCGACTGCGAAGTCTATCAAGTCTTGACTTCGAGGATTTAAAGATACCTCGAAGTATGTTGGAAGTTCGATTGGCAACGGGTGCCATCGTTAAAACCGAGAAGCGCATGGTACGCGTGCGCTTCACGCATGAAGATCAAGATTTTGTCGAGACCTTTATCGTCCTGGATCTGGACGATAAGTTTGACATTGTATTGGGCATGCCGTGGCTTGCACGGCATGATCCGGTCATCGATTGGGAGAAGCGCACTCTCGTGCGCTTCGGTCGCGACAGCGGAACAGTGAGCGATGGCCCTGTTGCCGCTACGCACGCACCGACAGGTGCGCGCGACTCCCCACTCGAGACAGCGCCTAATGCTGTTGTCCCGGAGCGCCCTGGGCGCGGGCGAGCACGCGCGCAAGAGCAGCAAGCGTCGTCGTCGGCTGAAGGAGAAAATGTGTTGATCTCGGAGATCGACACCCGCTTTTCAGCGAATCAGGAAGAGTCTCCGACCTCAAGGGGTACGGATGACGCAGGCGAGTCACACGCGCTCAGCCGTGGAGGCTGAAGCGATTCTGATTGGATCAGTTTTGGCCAATAATAAGAGTCAAGGTGACGAAACGCCGTCGACTCGGGAGTCGATGGATTGGGTGAATTTGATTCGTCGGCTAGGGGAGCCGACGCATCCTCCGTAATGGGGGTCTCCGCCAATGGTTGGCGTCGAGGTATTAAAGTCGCGACGGTTCCGGGAACCGGCGCTGCGAAAAGGAATTTCGCGTCGACTCCGGGAGTCGACGCACCCTTTGTAACGAAGGGCTCCGCCAATAACAGGGGTCGAGGTGAAGATGGCGTGTCGACTCCGGGAGTCGACGCTGCAAGTGGTGCGGACGGTTGCAAACGTCCCGCACCGGCAAAACGTGCATGCTGTCGTGCAGCCGGGCTGCACGACGAAGCGTCGTTCTACCAAGCCGGGCTTGAAGTCGCTCGCCCGCGGGATGTACCCGCCGGCGGTACTGAAGAAGAAAACCCGTCCACGGCTGGGCCTGGACGAGGTCAAGAACCAAGTGGAGCCGGGCTCCGCAAAACAAAAAGACGGCGCATGCGAAGACCGCTGCGCAAGTCTCGGCCTGGGGCCGAGACGCTACAAGGAATGTCTGCCGGGCAGACGGAGGCTGAGAAGCCGGACGTCGAGACGTTGAACGTCTTGACGCGTACCTGTGCCGGGTTCCGGTACAGGGAGATGACTCTCGCTAACCCTCTGACGCAAGCGTCGGAGTTGACTTCGCTTCCAGTCATGAGCTGGAAGCGCTTCGCGCGTGACTTGCACGATGGACGCATCGAGCAAATATGCATTCTCTCGGACGCCGAGAGAACGATGAGCGAGAATGAAGATCTGAGGCAGTTCTTCATGGAGACCACCACTGAGAGCGAGGACACTCTCAGTGCGAAGACGAAGAAGGAGCGCAACTACCCGGTACATGACAAGGAGCTCCTTGCCATGAAGTACGCACTCGCGAAGTTCCGAGTGTATCTACTCGGAAGCAAACCGTTCGTGGTCTATGCGGACCACGCGTCGTTACGGACGGCTGTGAGGTCGCCGCACATCTCGCAACGGATGGCGAGATGGCTCTCATTCTTCGCAGAGTATAACTTCCGGGTTGAGTACAAACCCGGAAGACTCAATGTGGTGGCCGACGCGCTCTCGCGTCGACCTGACTACGCCACGACTGATGCCGACGTCAATGCCATTGACGCCATGCGATTGAGCACCCCGACGTCGTCACTGTTGGACGACGTGAAGGTCGCGTACGCGCACGACGCGGAAGCGAAGCTCTTGCTGGCCTACGGCTCAGCGCCTTCTGACCAAGCTCGTCAGAAGCTGCCGAAGCATCTTCGTGCTCGTTCACACCGTTACCGGGTGCACGACGGGTTATTACTCTACAGTGCAGTCGACGACAACGCGGACCGCGTTGTCGTGCCCAATGACCATGACCTGCGACTCAGGATCATGTATGAGTATCACGATGCACCGACTGCGGGGCATCCGGGCCGTGAGAAGACATACATTCTTCTCACGCGAGACTTCTACTGGGCCCACCAGTATAAATGGGTGCGCAAGTACGTCCGTCCGTTGCGAGGTTTGTCAACGTGTGAAGCCTGCGCCTTTCGCGCAGGCTACCTTGCAGTCACTACCAACTCCACGGGAGTGTTGGCAGTCCATGTCTTTGGACTTCGTGTTCGGTCTTTCCCCGGACAGTCAGGGGAACACGGGCGTTGTGGTCTTTGTTGACCGCTTTAGCAAGATGGTACATCTTGCGGCGGTACCCGCTGAAGTGACTGCGAAGCAGACGGCGCGTCTGTTCGTTGACATGGTGTTCAAACACCATGACATGCCGATCAACATTGTGTCGGATCGAGACCCGCGCTTCACTGCACACCTTTGGCAAGAAGTGTTTACCCTTCTTGGGAGTCAACTTTCGATGTCGGCTGCGGACCATCCGCAGACGGACGGGCAGACCGAACGCGTGAACCGCGTGCTCGTAGACGTGCTTAAGAGCTACGCTCACTGGGGCGAGTGCCTGCCGATGGCAGCGTTCGCCATCAACAACTCGGTACATGTCTCGATCGAGCATACACCGTTGTGCGTGAATGCCATCAGGCACCCACGCCTCCCGAGTCTACGAGGGATGGTGACTCCTTCCTAAAATGGGGGAGGATCTCCGACTGCAACGCAGCAGCCGAAGACTGCCGCTGACACTTGCACAGTGTCAGTCGCGATCACGCGCAAGAAGAACAAGAAACACGGATCTGTGCAGAGCACAGACACCGCCAACATGGACGCAGAGGCCGGGCCTACTGCTGGAAACGAGCTGAACTTGTTCAGCTCGGACAAACCGTCGTTCGGTTTGTCCAAGACGCTATTGCAGCTTCTGTCGACCGACAGAAGCTGAACGCAGACAATGTTGGCAGGGGCAACACTAATGAATTCGAGAAGGGTTCATTAGTCTTGTTAGCTAGTCAAAACCTGCCTAAACATGCAGTTTCCGACTTCGGGGTGAGCAAGCTCGCTCCGCGCTTCGTCGGACCGTTCACTGTGCTGGCACGGCACGGCAACGCCTACACACTGGACATACCGTCTAGTATGCGCCTCCATCCGACGTTCTACGTCGGACGGCTGAAGCCATACCTCCAGCACGAGCTACCTAGCTCGGCTGAACCGAAGCAGAAGACTCAGCGGAAGCCATCGTCCTCTCCAGCGCGACTTCGCGCTGGAGCAGCGGGTCGGGCTAATGGTCCAGCTCGGCCGGAACGATCGAGGCGGTCTGGGAGGCCGCCGCAACCTGAGCATACTTCAGAGCGCCGAACCCAGCGCTCTGGAACTACTCCACGACCGGAACTCGGTCGTGGGGAGACGCGAGATCAGGGTCAACACCAAGTTGACCACACACGGGGCGTGATCCCACCACCACCGCCGCCAATTCGTGACGCACACGGCTCAACTCGATGGATAGTTGAGCGGATTGTTGGTCGCGGTATCCCGAGAACGAACAGGCAACCGGTTCGTTTTCGTATCCGTTGGAGAGGATTCCCTCCCAACCAAGATACATGGGAGCCGCGGAACGTCTTGCTCGAAGGCGTCCCGGACATGGTGAGGGCATACGAAGCCCACCATGCGCTACATACTGGAACGTAATGCGAGCGCTGCTGTTAACAGTAGCGCCCGAAGACACTTCGAGGGCAGACGTAGGTCCTGCCCCCGCGGCAGCGACGCACTTCGCACGTTGCCGCGCATGCTACTCAGCAGCAGAGAAGTTCTCCGCTGCTGCGCCAGCGGACTTTAACTTCGACGCGCTCGTTCCATCACGAGCGCGCTCTCTTCAACGTCACGCATTGACCAAACGGTCAATGGTGGTTGACGTGCCGAGACCGGCACGTCTAACCTTGACGGGGGGATGGTGTAACGGGGTTACACGCACAAGTGGCTACAGTCACTTGTTACTCTAACAGATGCGATGTCTGTTAGAGGTTTTGAACACTTCCTCGACCTTGGTGTAAGGTACACCAATGGCTACATACATTTACGACCACCTCGACGAGTGGTCCATTGAGACTTAGGATTCCTATTGGCTGAGAGCAGCATCTCTTAGCCAATGAGCGACATGCATAGCATTGGATTTCTGCCAACCAGCCGTTGGCAGATTCCTATCTTCGAATATTACATTTAGAGGAAGTCAGAAACATAAAACAAAAATAGCAGTTCTCATTTTAACCCAAAAACATTACTTGGATCGTTTATTTAGATTAATCTATACTCGGAGGCCCGAGTATAATTAATTCTAAGTTAAACTAAGCTACGCTTCCTCACATACACGCGCACACGTGTGCTAAAGTAGTGAGCCAAAGTAGGCCCATTACAGCCACCCAACTCCCAGCGAAACACAATGAACCAGAATGCTTTGAAAGTACCTAACATCGATAATCAACACGTTAGCGACCACCTTGCAAGTGCATGCACATTGCACACGCACCTCTGGACTTTACTCGTGAAGCTTCGTCACTCGCTCAATGAATGCATTTGACTAGCTGCAGCACTCAAGACTCGCGCTAAAACGGCTGTCGCCGTCCCTGACGGCGATTGCGGAGCGTGTGCGCTGTCGAGCGCTCGATCCTCTGCGGTCGTTCTGCAAGTGACCCACCGCCCGCAACATCCCCGTCCGATGTCGCCCAAACGTCGCGTGAATGACTCCCGAACGTCGCACATAGGTCGCACGATCAAAACGCGCCGCCTTTGGCAGACCCCCCTACGATAGTTCTTCGAACTACGAACAAATGCAGGAGATGTCTACATTATGCGCACTATTCGCTGTCACCGCTATCCCTGAAATTCCGTCTACATCCAAAATACTATATACATATCCTGAATGTAGTAGGATCACCACCCAGCTGAATAATACGCTGTTCATAACTTTGGGCTGTGAGACGGTTATCCCGTGTCACCATCGCGCTCACCTAGTACGAGGCGGCAAGCTTCCACGCGTACAATCGTCAAGTGACCATTGCTAGACTCTCAGCTGTGGAACCGGGCGTCGATTTACCACATCGATAAATGGGTTTGTCGTTACGGGGCCGCGCGCACTTGGTTGACTTGAGTGCTATATCCCTATGCATTGATTGTGTTCACAAGGGGCAGGAGATGGATGGGAGCCTCTCGTGAAGCGCATCAACATCGCGTTCGCTGGCTCCGGAATTAGATCGACGAAGCGCGTGGACGGAGCCTGTAGCAGCGAAGGCGACCGAAGCGTCGTTTTGTGCTGAAGATTGTATACCAGACTGAAGAAGCAGACGTATGAAGATGGAGGCAAGCAGTTCGCGGGAGAGAAACACGACGTCGTCACACGACGACGTAACTATGGAGGGCGCGGACACACCAGCAGGGGGCTTGAGTAGCTCCAGGGCCAAACGGCCACGCGCCCAAACAGACCAAGGGATGACAGAAGATGAACTTGATGAAGAAGAGCTAATTCAAGCTTTCTCGGAGGAAGAGTGGGCTGATGTCGAGCGCCACCTGCAGGACACTACCACAGAAGTGGTTTTCGCAATGAACGAGCGCTTGGTGAAGGTCAACGGCTATCGTATGACGCTAGCCGACTTCAAGCAGGACATCATCGAGCTGTGTAAGCAGTTGGGCGTGCTTTTCGAGGGAGACGACTTGATTGAAAGCGTGATGTTTTTATCAGGGCGCCCGAAGAATCTGGACCGAGCACTATGGTTGGTGCTGAAGAAGGGAGAGATAACTGTGGAGGGTGTGCGCATTTGGGTACAGTCAATGTTCACGGGCAAAAAGACCACGCCACTTACGCTTAACGAATTGGAGTACATGAATTGCAACCGTGTCTCCGTTTCCCAGTTGTGTGACATTGTTAAGGAATGGGGTGGAGCAGACTTCGTGGTGGTTTCACACGGGTACAACACAGATCGGTACAACATTCGGCAGCGAGGCAGACGCCCTGTGCAGGAATGTTTACACGTGGCAGCAACTGAGTCGCCATATCCAATCTACTCCTTCCGGTTGTTCTTCCCAAGCCCCCAGGCAGCGAACAGAGTGTACAAGTCGTACCTCGAGTCACAGAGAGGGCGGCTACGGGGCCATGGAGACCCGACGAGTACCATGAAGTTGAAGCCTGTGCCACATGCAGAATGGGATTCATCAAGCAATGAGATGTATCGACCCGCGGAACGAGAAAGCCGTCAAGAATTATTTCGAGTCGGCATCTTCGGATTACGAGTTGAGATCAAAGCAGCAGACATTGAGGAAGTGCTCGAGAGTAATGGGTTGGGTAAGGTGAGAGTTGAAATTCGTGGAAAGCAACCGCTGTTTGGTGTGGGAACGTGTATGTCATCCGACCAGCAGAATGCCATTCTCACCCAATTCGGCCCCGAAGGCGCCAACGTGCTGAAATACAAGAATACGCCGCTTTACCTAAGAAAATGGGAGGACGTGCCAGCCCAGCGCCGCTGCCACGAATGTAAGCAGCCCGGTCATCTCAGGTATGCATGCCCGCGCCTTACTGGTCTGGAGTCCCAACATCAGCCAGCTAGTGCTGTAGTGTTGTCAAGCCGTCGTGAGAACTCGGCCATGTGGACCAGCCAAGGTCTCAACGAGTACGCAGAAGCCATGCTAGACCGCCTCGTGCGCGCTAGAACGGACCGTTTCGAGCAGCGCTTACTCCATCTTGACCAACAGCAGCAACGCACCGAGCAGTACGTTCAGGAAATACGACGAGATCTAAGTGGGCAAATTAGCTAGGCAATCACTGCTGCAGCCACGACGTTCCAGGAGCAACTAGAGGAACAAACGAAGACTATCGCCAATCTTCTGGAGAATTTTGGTCTTGGGGGTCCAGTGCGCCAGTAGGGTGGGCCTCCAAACAAACCACTGGCACCATGTGGAGGTTTCGCTGGACAGGGTTAGTTGTGCTCCTCCTGCTTCTGCAGCTGGTCATGAATCTCCCGGCACTTAACGCTGTTGTCGACGCCGCTTCAAGCGGAGGTCTGGAATGGCCGAGAGAAGGTGAAGCGTATCGTGATGAAGCGGATACTTCTAGTGGGACAGATGCATCGGTGTGGGAGGACAGAAGTGCCGCTGGGGACCGTACTACTTCGCGCCACTGCCGCGGTGGGCGGAAACACAGACCATGGAGACCCGTTCGATGTTCGTATCACAGTCCAAATGACCCGGAACGAAGTACAGTGTTGAGGAGCATTTTGCAGCGGGAACACTACTCGGGCGATTACATTGGGGATGACGAGAGTGGGCACGAAATCGATGAAAATGGGATACGTGTCTGTACTACCAATATCAACAAATATTTGCGTAAGAAGATGAATGATGAGTTGGCTAGCTGGATGATTGCCAACAACCAAGACATCATGATTATCAGTGATCCAGCACTCCAGGGCAGACGCGTTGAACAGGTGTGGGTGAGCACGACGGAGCCTCGCAAAGTGCCAGGGATACTGGTAATAGGCACGAAGTACATTGGAATGGCGTTGCTACGGGAACGCTGGGAAAATCGGCTGGTGAAAGACAGCATTTCGTACTCTCGGTCGATGTGGGTCACCATACGCCTTGGACGAGCCCGCATGCTGTGTGTGATTGGTACATACATTCATCATTCACCTGATCAGCACGAGGAAGAAACCAGATCTGAATGGGAGTGGATCCAACGGCAAACAGCACTCGGGCGTGAAGCCAACGCAATTATCATCCTAGGCGGCGACTTCAACACCTACCCAGACCCCGATCGCGACCGCCAAGGTAATGGTGAGCGCACTCGGTCGGCACAACGCATGAATCAGTGCTTTGCCGACTGGGTGGGTGACCATGGACTTGTCTCGTCCTTTAAATGCAGACATCCAAACACGAACCGGTTTACGTACGCTCGTCAAGGCATCAAATTTGCACTTGACGACATTTACATATCTGGAGAGCATGAATCGGTGGTGGTGAGAAGTGGGATTTGGCTCAACAGCATCCTTAGCAGTGACCACGTGGGAACTTCGTTTGCTGTTCTTCGCTGCGAAAGAGGGGCACAGATTCCAATTGGTCTACGTGGAGTAACTCCAATCAAGGTGGTCAATACGAGGACCAAAAGCATGGAGGAAATGGAGCAGTTCACACGTACCACCGACCAACTTCTGACTGAGAAAAAACTCACCCTGATTGATGATATTGCTGTGGAGAATAGCCCAGAGGAGGAGATCTTGCAATGGCTTGAGCATGCCATTGAAAACATGAACGAGTGCTTAAGCACCAGCGCGGTTAAGTTGTGGGGTGTCACGAATCAGTCGAAGCGCCAACTCGCTAGATCTGTCTGTATCAAAGCCAGCAACCGTTGTACCGCCCAACTCAGACAGGTGAAGGTGCTACCTCACCTTCCGGACACTGGAGTGGAGGAAATTCAAGCTGCGATGACCGCGATTATGTGGCCACGCTGGGTGTTGAATCCCAGCCATCTTGTTGCTGACTGCGCGCACTTTCAGTCAACCCAGAGGTTACTCGCAGAGTTTCAGAGGGTGCCGCAAACGAGAGACCTTTGTTCGTGGAAGAACTGGGCTTCTGCTGTATACGGCCGATGGCGGAATGTGATGCGTACACGGCGAAACTGGCGCCAGACCCAACGTCGATTGAGAATGCAGGAGTAGCGACAGCAATGATTCAGTGGGGGTGGAATTAAACGCTTCTTAGGCAGCTCACTAGGACGCGCAGCGCCTCCCGTAACGATTCGAAGTGCACTTGTATCGGACCAGGCTGGTAAACGTTATACTGAAGACAGGGATGAGGTGCAGATTGAATCGACGAAACTACTTGATAACTGGATGATTCCTCCGGAAGAAAAGACAGAGCGCCCACGCTTCCTGGACACGTTGGCTCCTGAAGATGCAGGTAGCCTACCCCAGTTTGCTCGGGGCTGGATCCTGCCGGATATTGAGCGAGGGGGTCGCTTTGCTCAGCACCGGGGCAATGACAATACTAAATGGGAGAACTATTCGTACACCAGCGAGATGCAAACTGAAATTGATCGGCAGCTCAAGCAGCATGTGGCGCCAGGGTACGGCGGAATTTCGCAAGAAATGTGGATAGCTGCCCCAGCGGCGATTAGAAACCGAGAACGTAGGGTGATTGAACTTATTCTTCGCACAGAAAACTCCGATCCTTCGCCGGAAACAAATGATCTTCCTCCCGAAGGCTGCTACAATCGATCCTACACTCGATAATACGAAAGGCTTACCGCCATGGCGTCCGATCACGGTACAATCTGCGTTGGCAAGTCGACTATTCCTGGTGGTCAAACGCTATGTAGAACCAGGGATACCGATCAGCAAGATACAGCACGGTTTCCAGCGAGACCGTACCGTAATTGACGCAGCGCTACTGGTTACGCTCTTACTGGAACGGGTACCCGTGATGTAGAACCATTAATTCTAGTTTCGAAAGATTGCTTGAAGTGCTTCGATCGGATTCCACGGTGGTGTATGGACTTGATTTAGCGAGGCATCGGAGTCCCGGCGAAACCAAGAAATCTCATGATTGATCTGCTAGGTGATGGCATAATTGATGTGCGCACCGCGTTTGGGTGGATATCAACCGGACCGCGTGAATTCGGAATAGGGCAAGGTTCAATACTTTCGATTCTGCGCATAGCGTGTTATATGGACTACCTGCAAGAACAATTGGCGGGCTGTCCTGACCCTGTTGAAGTTCGACACCACCAAACCGGAGGAGGCATAGAGATCAGTAGCACGCTCTTTGTCGATGACCAACTTGATATGACCACCTCGCTCCGTCGAATTCAAGCTAGAGCCAAGACGACAAATATCTTTACGGGCAAAGCGGGTACTGGAGGCGTGTTTGGTGCGGAGAAATCATTCATGATGTACATGACTTCGAATAATGAGCACTTTGATGCCGTACAGCTAATTGACGGCTTAGGAATTCCACGGGAGGTGAAGGCTGTTTCTCCGGAGGAAGGTTTTAAGCATCTAGGGGTCTATCAAGGTGGTGATAACCTTTGGGAGGCTACGATTACACCAACCTGGGTCCGTCTCACAGAAGAAGCTGGTCGAATCGTCCGGCAGAAACTTTCACTCGTGCAATTTCGATATATTGTGAACTCAGTCTGGATTCCCCATTTACGATATCGTATGGTGCTTGGAGGGGCCATTGGGGTAGCGGGGAGTATTGGCACATTTATCAGGCAAGTTGCTCGGTCAGTGTTACGCCTCCCACATTCCACTCCTAGATCGGTCTATTATGATAAAGTCAACGGCCTCGGATTGTTGAGTTGCGAACTCGACGCCAATGTCCACCGCTACAACGAAGCTGTTCGAATACTGAACTCCCCCGATCTACCGGTCTATCATTTGCTTGTCGAGTCACTAGAGATGTACCAGGTGAACGCCGGACTTACGGAGAATCCGCTTAGTGTACCTATCAAACCCCCAGTACAGGTTACGACGTGGGCAGGGTGCATAATACGCTTCGCGGCGGCAATGACCCCACCACTAAAGCTTGATTGTAAATGGAAGCAGCCACCCGCTGCACTCGCCAAACGTTCTAATGATCGACCATTACTCCACTACACGCGGCAGGAGCTGCGACCAAAGCTGGTAGCTGTTAATTGGAACACGGACTATAAGCTGCAGTACCTCGGGGACATTGTTACAGACTGTGGAACGCGGCTACTTACACGGGCTCAACTCCAACAAAAAGGGATGTGGCAGGGAGCCAAGCGGGCACGGGTTGACGAGCTTTATTCCGAATGGAAAGAGCAGCTCGCAAAAGGTGGGTCATTGGACGTGCGTGAACCGGTGTGATGCAAGAAAGTACCACCAGGTCTAGTGCCATACCAGTTGCGCATTGGTGTAGGGGAATGGATTGTCGCTGTTAAAATGGACACATCAGGCCCGGAACCTACGATTGATCACTACGAACTAGGGCATCGAAATATCGGAGAGATTAAGCAACACCAACTGGGTACGATCATTCCAGTTCGGTGGTGGCGCGAGTTACGTCGGGGGTGTGATATATGGGTTGAACGTACACACCTGAGAGACGTTGCTGAATTTGAAGCCGTGTGTGTGCGTGTGATACCTACCTATCTGCCAACGCGACGGAACTGCCGTCAACGAATCATTCTGTGGAGTGATACGTCAGTCAACGGAGTTAGCGGGCTTAACGACAAGCGGCTTTTGAACGAAGCGCTGGCAAGAAGCAGAATCCGCTATGATTCTACACTACGAACAGGCCATCCACTACAGCTAGAGACTGCATGTACGGAGTGCGGTAAGCACCGCGGTGAACAATGGTGCGGAGAGTGTGGGAAATGGCACCACCCTAACTGCGTACCAGTTTGTGGAGGTCGGTGGAGCGAGGAAGGGGTACGCGACCAATGCGTAAAATTTGCCTGGAAATCGGGGGACGCAGCTGTCACTGTGCAAGCAGGGGATGGTAGTGTCATTGATCCCAATACCCAACGGTCCCGTGGGGTGTGTGCGATGCAAGCCGCTGTGGGCCACTCGGTGTTGGGGCAGCTTTGCATTCACAGACAGGATATCACATCAACGCGGTGTGAACTTCACGCGCTATTGGCAGGGCTCAGTCTCTATGGCGATACTGGTGAACAAGTGTGTGACAATAAGAGCGCTATCGGTATCATCGCGAAAGCACGGGCGTATGCCAAGGGGCAACTACCGCAAATTAAATTCCGGGATCCTCATCGTATGGAGATTAAGTCGCTGAGTCATGCAATGCGCGACGCGGGTAATTTCAGTGCACGGTGGATCCGATCGCATATGGAAAATGAATTTACAGTAGACTCGCAACTCCGTGGTCACCGACAGTCACTAGCATGCGTGGATGCAGCAGCGAAGGAGAGCCATAGCTACGTGATGCAGAGATCGTACTCATCGTGGCTCGTATTCGACGATTTCCTACTGATAGATGAGGAGGGCAGACCTGTCTTGGGCAACACATTGAGCTTTTTGTATGATCAAGCATATGCTGCGCAAGCCGGTCGGTGGATTGATAAACAGCGACAGAAACCTCCTATTCGACACACACTGTCCGACGACGAGCTTCCCATGATTTATAATGATGGTTGGTCGGATGAGATACGGCGATTTTTCTGGAGGGCGCGCATGAATCTTCTCCATACCAATGCAGTGAAGCATCGCTTTGATGTGAGGTGGTCCGATACCTGTATTGTGTGCGATAATGGAAACCTTGATACTCAAGATCACCGATTCGGACTCGGAGATGAGGTGTGCCGTGAGGTAATCGTACTGGATGAAATGATCAATGCCGCATACTATCAGGTGGGCAGCCAATGTATGCTACCGGACCAGTTTGTCTTGCCGCCAAGTGTCGGCCATTCCATTGCGGTAGACCTGGGAGTCAACCAACGCGGGTTGTGGGCGTCTGATGACCGCATTTCAACTTTGTGGCGGCCCATGGTCCAATTGCAAGATAATCTATGGGTCAATGCTCAGTGGCTAGAGTGGCTCGGGGATCCCGGAGTACTGTTACACGACCAGAGGATTGTACGATTGGTACAGTCCGAACTGTATGAACAGCGCCAGAGAAGTATAGGCTTGAGTGGAGGAATTCTCCCGGTGACTTTGGTGGAGGTGCTTGGTTTATGTCATCCCGACGTAGGGTGTTATCACACATCGCTTACGCAATGGACTCCCGGGTGGGCTGGAGCAACGTTTGAGCACAACATCGACAATGCTAATCTTCAAGGGTTGCAAGGACTGACCCCAGCCTCTGATATAGGCACGTGGTGGGTCGACGACGTTTTTCATGTTCAGCCGGAAGCGTGGTGGGACGACTTCCAACACCACGTTGATAGGCATCTTACCGCAGGCGACCCTGGGTATTGGTTTGCCACGTATTTAGGCTCCCCAGGTCACATGAGACTGGAGGCTTTTGGGTGTGTGTGGATTCTGCGGATTCCCAAAGATGAGATACGGATGAGAACAGGAAGCAGCATTGTTCAATCGCGACATCTACCCGTATTTGCCGATGTTTTCACGTCTAATATGGGCGTGATACTGGTGGATCTTCTAGCGAGAGAGGATCAGGTCCAGACCATCGCAAGTCAGTCAATATCAAAATGGCTGCACGCGCTATCCCAAAGCTTCACGAACGCGTGGCTCCTACCAGACTGGCGCGATATGGGCGGAGCTACCAAGCAGTGGTGTTATACTGTGTTTGGGTGGATCTACGCGGAGAGCAGCTCCATGGAACACCCTCGTTGGTGGGTCAAAGTGAGACACCAACTTGATCGCTGTGGCCTGACGGTGTACGACGCGCCTGTGGGATGGAGACGCTACCCAACCATGACGTTCCGTAGTCGGACGTGGGCAGAAGCAATAAGTTTCACTAAACAAGGGGCAGTGGCGCTCACAAGCTCCTCTTCCGGACCATTTGGGTCACATTACGAGACTATTGGAAGCATACATGTGCCAGCAACGAAGAAACAGTACAACATGACCGTCAAGCGCTATTGCGTGATGTCAACGCAGGCATCAAGTCACGCCGAGTACAATGGGCCCGGCGGACTCAAGAATCGTTTAGCAGCAAGCTGGCCGACCGTAAGGAAACACTGAAACGACGTAGAGACCGGTGGCACAGCAAGCGAGCACGGGCATTTGAAGAAGAGGGTGATGAGAACGGGATGTAGTTTGCAGATGCATATTAGTACACATTACTTGCATAATAGGATGTAGGGGATAGTCACGCTCGTGGAACGTGACTTCGGCGCCTACCGCGGACTCGTATCCTAGAGATCTAGCGATGCGACCACCGTAGGCGGAGATGCAGCAGTGCGCGTCTCCGGGAGTAGGTAGCCGACTAAACCGCAACAAATTCAAATTCAAAACATCACGTTCGCTTCGTGACCATACAAAGAATGCTGCGCCCACCTACAGCGTACAGACTAGTGATCAGGACTCCTTATTATCTCAGTCGCCCCTCTTGCTAGGACAAACGGGAGGTCAAAATCGTTTTTTACTTGATTTCAGTATATTGTACCACAAATGTTGTCCTAGACGGACCGCTAGGACAAAAATTATGGTACAGTATACTTAACTCTAGTGAATTTCGGTTTTGTCCTACAATTTTTCTTGTTTGTCCTAACAAAGTGCCCGACTGGGGTTAACGTCCCTGGATGAGCTAGGTAATTGGTTTCTTGTCGTTTAGACGCCTCGCTGGAGTAGGTACTGTGGAGTTGCTGATGGAGCGGATCACGGCGCCATCAGGTAGTTGTGGTCTCCGCCCACGCCGATTCTGCTGCGACTTTTCACGCGTATAATAGGCGCATGGCCGTATAAGCGACTACACGTATTAGCCACTGACTTCTAGTACAGTGTATTACAGTAGATACGGCCACAAACGTAAAGGAGCTTTGAGGGCCGGTGCTACCCGAACATGTATGAACTGTGCGGCAATCGAGTGAACGCAGACACTCCGTCAAGGAAGTAAATCCCCATAGAACACTACATTTGGCCCCAAACGCACACTTGGAGAACTGCAATGAGCTGGTCACAGCCCCTGCCTTGAGTTTTGCCCATCTGAATGCTAGCACAGAGGCGTCACTGATGTGCGTGATCAGGACGGCAGGGTGACTGCAACATCAGCTTTTAACGAACGGTCTACGTGACCCCCGTCTTATAATACGCCGTGCACTACTATGGTCAAATGCGAAGGGTATTGGCCCCCCAAGGATGTGCCATCTCTGTCAACGAACAATCCAGCGCCGTACATGTAACGCTGGCAGGGATGACAGCGACTCTATCGGCTCGATGTATCGCTCTGAAGTGTGACAGGAGTGGGAGGTTGACGCGCACCCTGCAGCCATTGATGTACGTCAGTGCAACGTGACGCAGCGAGCAATTGCACGAACGAGCAGCGTGAAGAAAGTGGGGGCGAGTCCAACGAAACTTGGTGTGTCGATCGCCGCGACTACAAAGCCGTTGCCACGGAACCCTACTTGGTGTCGATCTCCAGGACTGCAGGGCTGCTAACGAGTCTATCAACCGTCACGAAGGGCAAGACGCTAATGAGAGCAGACCTATGTGTCCATGAACTTTGCTGCTCAAAGGCTTCAAAGGCGGTCGCAGCAAATCCTAGCGGAGACCGACCGCGCTGACGACGATGGCGACTTGAAGGCAACCTATTATTTGGTACCCTGTGTAAGTAGATTTTCAAGGTTCTCGGATTTTCAAGGAAAAGAGTACAAAACACACGATTTGCACTTGCGCTTGTTTATATTCATCTGTATGCGATCGATTCCATTCGTTTCAGGTAAGGTAAGGTGCCAGTTGCGTCCGTGCCTACTTGTTTTAGCCAATTAGCATCTTCTCCTTGTTAAACTCTCGTAGTCTATTGGTAGATTTTTCCAGCGTCACATGCAATTTCCGGTGATGAGCCTCCTAGGATTTGCATAGCATACAAAAATGCTATCAAAAAGAGGCAGGAAACTGGCAGCTCACTCCAAATCAACAAGCTTTTCAAAACAATAACAAGAAGTTCTGCAAAATTTACACGGACCAGCGTGAAGTACATGAATTCAGCCCAATCGAGATTTAGCGGGTGCAATCAGATTTCAGAATGGACAATTCAATGAAAAGTTATGCCACAGCAAGTCCGCAAGTTCGAAGGACGGCACGAAACTGGTAGAAGACCTTAGTACAGTTCAGTGGAACGCTTATCTCCATCTGATTGCGACACGACTAGCAAAAGACTTCAACTTCGCTACTTTAGCTCCGACCACACCTTCTACGAGCCCTGGGGAGAGCCGGGCTCCTGGGCT